AGCTGCACCAAGCCAACAGACAATAGCAAACAATGGCAAGAGACCTCAAAATAGCTCAAGAGCGAATCAGAGTCCTACGAGATGATTCCAGAAGAAACAACATTAGAATCATTGGACTACCAGAGGCTCAAGGAAACAATCCCAATGAAAAAAAACATGCTGAAACAAATTATTGCCAAAAAATTCCCAGAGCTCCATAATACAGCCATCCAGATTCAAGAAGCCCGAAGGGTGCCAGCTAAAAGAGACCCCAACAGAAACACCCCAAGACATATTTTAGTTAGAATGATCGATGCTGCCGATAGAGACACAATACTGCAAGCAGCAAGGGCAAAAAAGGAAATCACATACAAAGGAGCACCCCTGAGATTCACAGCAGACCTCTCAGAGGAAACCCTACAAGCCCGAAGACAGTGGCGAGATATAGTCAAAAAACTCACTGAAATGAATGCTTCACCAAGAATACTCTATCCGGCTAAACTCTCACTCCAAATAGATGGAAAGCTACACTATTTTCTAGATAAACAGCAGCTCAGGAACTAAAGGGGCTACTATAAGACAAGACAAACCCTACAACCAAAACACACCCGCACAGAAACATGACACAAAACCCCATAACCATACTCTCTCTCAATGTCAACGGTCTCAATTCACCATTGAAGAGACACAGAGTGGCAAAATGGATACAGAGACAGAACCCAACATTCTGCTGCCTACAAGAAACTCATCTCAACACTCAGAGCAAACACAGACTCAAAGTCAAAGGATGGAAAACAATCCTGCAAGCAAACAGCTCCTGTAAAAAAGCTGGGGTGGCCATACTAGTATCTGACAACATTAATTTCACCCTGAAAAAGGCTAGAAGGGACAGTGAAGGCCATTTTCTATTCATCAAGGGGTACGTACAACTGGAAGAAATCACACTCTTAAATGTATACGCACCTAATGAGGGAACAGCCAAATATTTAAAACAACTGCTAACAGATTTTAAGGAGGACATTAAAAGCAGCACAATAGTACTTGGAGACTTCAACATTGCCCTATCACCTCTGGACAGATCAACAAGAACAAAACCCAGCAAGGAATCATTGGCTTTGAAAGAAGAAATAGAAGAGAGAGGGCTTATAGACTTATACAGGGCTTTACACCCCAAAAAGAAAGAATACACATTCTTCTCCAGTGCACACGGAACATTTTCCAAAATAGACCATGTGCTAGGACACAAAACATACCTCAACAAAATAAGGAAGATAGAAATAGGATCAGCCATCTTTTCAGACCATGATTCACTGAGGATAGAAGTGAATCACACACAGACACGGAGAACCAAATCAAACACCTGGAAATTAAACAACTCAATGCTGAACAATGAATGGGTCAGGAACGAAGTCAAGGACGAAATCAAAAGATACCTGGAAACAAATGAGAATGAAGACATGAGCTACCTGAACCTATGGGATGCAGCGAAAGCTGTAGTAAGGGGAACATTTATAGCTCTGCAAGCATATCTTAGGTCTGTGGAAATGGTACACATAAACAACTTGACCTCACAGCTCAAGTCCTTAGAGAAGGATCAACAGAAAGACCTAAATCAGGCAGAAGGAAAGAGATCATAAAACTTAGAGCAGAAATCAAACATGGAAACCAAAGAAACAATCCAAAAGATCAATGAAACCAAGAGCTGGTTCATCAAGAGAATAAACAAGATAGATAAACCACTTGCAACACTCACAAAGAAACAGAGAGAGAGAACCCTAACAAACTGAATCAGAAATGAGAAGGGGGATATCACAACAGAAACCAAAGAAATCCAAAAGATCATCAGAGACTACTTTGAAAGTCTGTATGCCACGAAACAAGAGAAGCTAGAAGAAATGGACAAATTCCTGGACTCCAATAATCTCCCAAAGCTGAATCAAGAAGACCTGGAGTATCTGAATAGACCTATTAACATCAACGAAATAGAAACTGCAATCAAAAGCCTTCCCAAAAACAAAAGCCCGGGCCCAGACGGATTCACAAGCGAATTTTTCCAAACATTTAAAGAGGACCTGCTGCCAGTCCTTCTCAAGCTCTTTCAGGAAATTGAAAAAACGGAAACTCTCCCAAACAGTTTCTATGAAGCCCATATCTCTCTAATACCAAAAGGAAACAAAGATAGCACGAGAAAAGAAAACTACAGGCCGATATCCCTGATGAACACGGATGCAAAGATTCTCAACAAAATACTAGCAAATAGAATTCAACTACTCATCAAAAATATCATACAACATGACCAAGTAGGATTCATTCCGGGGATGCAAGGCTGGTTTAACACTAGGAAATCAATCAACATAATCCACCACATCAAAAAAAGAAAAGATAAAAATCATATGATCATATCAATAGATGCAGAGAAAGCATTTGACAAAATCCAGCACCCATTTATGATGAAAACCCTAGCCAAAATGGGGATAGAGGGGACTTTTCTCAATATAGTTAAAGTCATCTACCACAAGCCTACAGCAAGCATCATCCTCAATGGCGAAAAACTGAGAGCCTTCCCTCTAAGATCAGGGACGAGACAAGGATGCCCACTCTCTCCACTGCTGTTCAATATAGTATTGGAAGTACTTGCAATAGCGATTAGGCAAGAAAAGGATATTAGGGGCATCCAGGTAGGAAAGGAGGAAATCAAGCTCTCACTATTCGCAGATGATATGATACTATACTTAGAAAAACCTAAAACCTCTATCAAGAAACTTCTAGAAACAATAGGCTTGTATAGTAAAGTGGCAGGTTATAAAATCAATGCCCAAAAGTCCATGGCTTTCCTATATGCAAATAGTGAAAGAGAAGAAAAAGACATGAAGAAAACAATCCCATTCACAATTGTGCCCCAGAAAATTAAGTACGTAGGAATCACCTTAATAAGGAAGTAAAGGACCTGTACAAAGAAAACTACAAAACTCTACTTCAGGAAATAAAAGAGGATACGAGGAAATGGAAAAATATCCCCTGTTCATGGATCGGAAGAATTAACATTGTCAAAATGGCAATACTTCCCAAAGCACTGTGTAAATTCAATGCAATCCCTATTAGGATACCCATGACATTCTTCAAAGAATTGGAGCAAAAACTCCTGAAATTCATATGGAACAGTAAGCCCCCACGAATAGCTAAAGCAATACTTGGGAAAAAGAAAATGGGAGGAATCAACCTCCCTAACTTCAAACTCTACTACAAGGCAGTAATAATTAAAACAGCATGGTACTGGAACAAAGGCAGAGCTGTAGACCAATGGAACAGGGTTGAATATACTGACGTCCCCCCCGAAGCATACGAGCATCTAATCTTCGATAAGGGGGCAAGAAAAGTGAAGTGGAGCAGGGAAAACCTCTTTAACAAATTATGCTGGCAAAACTGGACGGCTATATGCAAGAAAATGGGCTCAGATCTCTGCCTAACTCCATGTACAAAAGTAAGATCTAAGTGGATTAAAGACCTCAACATCAGAACGGAATCTATAAGATACATTGAGGAAAATGTTGGCAAAACCCTTCATGACATAGAAGCTAATAGTGTCTTCAAAGATGTCACACCACTGGCCAAGCAAGTGAAAACAGAGATAGATAAATGGGACTATTTTAAACTAAGAAGCTTCTGCACCTCAAAAGAAACAGTGACCAAAATACAAAGACAGTCAACTGAATGGGAAAGGATATTCGCCAACTACACATCTGATAAGGGGTTAATTTCAAGGATATACAAAATACTGGTTCAACTCCACAAAAAGAAACATTCAACCCCATCAAAAAATGGGGAGATGAAATGAATAGAAACTTTGACAAAGAAGAAATCCGAATGGCTAAAAGACACATGAGAAAATGTTCCACATCATTAATCATCAGGGAGATGCAGATCAAAACCACAATGAGGTATCACCTCACACCACAGAGACTGGCCCATATCCACAAGAACAAAAGCAACCAGTGCTGGAGCGGATGTGGTGAGAAAGGGACACTCCTTCACTGTTGGTGGGGATGCCGACTGGTTCAGCCCTTCTGGAAAACAGTATGGATGATTCTCAAAAAACTAGAAATTGAGCTCCCATTTGACCCAGCAATACCACTCCTGGGAATATATCCCAGAGAGGCAAAAAAGTATAGCCGAAGTGACATCTGCAATTGTCTGTTTATTGCAGCACTCTTTACAATAGCCAGAATCTGGAAAAAACCTGAGTGCCCGAGAACAGATGACTGGTTGAAGAAACTCTGGCACATTTACACAATGGAGTACTATGTAGCTGTTAGAAAAGACGAAGTCATGAAGTTTACATACAAGTGGTACTACATGGAAAGTATCATGTTAAGCGAAATGACTCAGAAAGAAAGGGACAGACATAGAAAGATTGCATTCATCTGTGGAACATAAAGTAACAAAATAGGAAACTAACACCCAAGTATGGCAGAGATTTGTACCAGGAATTTTACTCAATGACCCGGAGGACAACCACACATGTTAGGGGAAGGGGGAGCTCAGAAAGAGAAGGGAACACCAAATAAAGGGTGTTGGGAGGATCCGCCCACGATGGGAGAGCATGCTGAGGGTACACTGTCGACCAGCATGATTGCCACTCAATGCCTCTTTTGCAGACCATGGCACTCAAAAGGAGAGAGAGGGAAATGCCCTGCCACAGAGGCAGGGTGGGATTGGGGCTGGGGGGGAGGGGATGCTGGGATCTGAGGTGGTGGGAAATGCGCACTGGTGGAGGGATGGGTGTTTGATCATTGTATAATCGAAACCCAAGCACAAAAAGGTGTAAGTCTACAACTGTACCTCATGGTGCCTAACTATTAAAAAATAAATAAATATAATTAAAAAAATAAAAATAAATAAAAAATAAAATAAAATTCAAGATGACCTGGGCTTTGTAATCTATTTTTCTATTCACTGAACAAGGCAACCCTATACTAACCTTTAAATGTAGATTTCATGAAACCATTGCTTCTTCCACATACCTCTATTTGAAGGAAGGTTGTTCCAGCGGGCAGGTTCTCTTCAACTACCACAGTATATGTTGAATTGGTGAATACAGGACTGTTATCATCAATATCCAAAACCTTGATGGCAAGTGTTAGAGTTGAATGACGAGGGTGTATGGCCCCATCGGTTGCCACAACCACAAGTTCATAGTAGTCCCTTACTTCTCGGTTAAGCTTCACTGCTGTATAAATGCTTCCATTGGATGTAATGCGAAAGAGATTGTTGAAGTTGCCCAAGCTGTAGTGCACTTGACCATTTATTCCAGCATCAGGGTCTGTTGCCTAAATGAAATTAAAGTCAGACTATTGTATTATGCTGTTGATAAATGCCTCCCTTCAGGATAGCGGTAGCCAACAAACTTACATATATTTCTGAAGAACTTTTTTACAGAAAAAACTTTAAATTGGCATAATTTACAATTATATTATAACAAAACGCATAGTTTTAAAATAATGAAGTTTCCTTGGCTAGGGCGTCTGCCTTGCACGCAGCCAACATGGCCGACCCGAGTTCGATTCCTCCGCCCCTCTTGGAGAGCCCGGCAAGCTACCGAGAGTATTCGATATGCCAGACACAGTAACAACAAAGTCTCCAATGGAGACGTTACTGGGCCCGCTCGAGCAAATCGATGATCAACGGGAGGGCCTTTACTTTTACTTGGCATATAATTAGTATTTCATCCTAAAGTAAAAATCACATTATTTTAAATTACTTACCTATTCATTTAGATTTAGATTTGGGACAAAACTGGTGGTGCCAAGGACTTATTCCTGACACTGAACTCAGCAATCACTCATGTCGAGGCTTAAAGAACCATCTATGATGCCTGGGCTGGCCACATTCAAGCCAAGTACCCTGTCCACTCAGTATTTTTAATAGTTCTGTAGGTCATTAGTAAAACACAGATTTTTACAAGCTTATTGTTTGTTCCTTTCTGAAGCCAAGGAGGAAGATGTATGCTGTTGTTAATCTGATTTATTAACAAAATAAAGATCCTTGAGGCTACAGGATTGTATTGCCCACGTCCTTTCTTATAAATTGTTAAGTGAAGGTCTTTTCAACTTCTAGATACTGGTACTGGTATTATAAGCGTCTAAATAAAGGAAGAAATGATGAAATGAGAATAAAATAAAATTTATCAAATAAAGCAGTTATGTGATAATGACATCATTGATAGAAAACAAAAAAGCACAGATTGTATATAAAGGACAAGTTGTGAAGTCTCGTTCTGTGCAAAGAACACGCCCCAAGTAAAATTAGCAGTTGGCCCCTAATATACTTGAAAGTAGTATAAGTAAATAGCAGAATTAAACATATCTCAGATCAGTGGAACCATGAATCTCAAAATTTGCCTTCTGCAGATTTTCATAGCCACAATAATATATATAGATGTATATATCTGCATATATATATACATTCTAGAGTATCAAATACGTTGCTTGTATCTTCAGTGACTCAAATCCCTCTCACACAATTTGAACTACTTTCTTCAAATATCTTATTCATCTAAGCCAATGTGTAAGTTAAGTAGCAGAATTAAAACTATCTCAGATTAGTGGAACCCATGGATCTCAAAATTTTGTTATCTGGAGAGCCCTGAGCCTTGGAAGGGGGGTGGAGATACAATATTATATATAAGATTATCTATTATTTATAACACTTGTCTTCTAATATCATTTTTTACCCATCTTTCATAATCAACTATCAGTTTCTAAGCTGGATCTGAATATGGGTACTGCATTAGTTGTTATTATCAATCATTTGTATTACAGTTTTTCCAAGTAATTTTAACTATAGATAATAATATTATTGCTGTTTTTATCTATTACCTAAAGCTATACAAATATTTCTAAATTGTCATTAATAACTAAGAAATGTACCAAGGTATCCTTTTGATACTATGCGCATGTCATATCTCAAAATATATCTATATTTTATATTTTGTTTTCCATGCTGCATAGCTTGAAAAAAACTGTCTTAAGGTTATTTTCAATGAAAATGAACCGGAAATGTCTAATTTCAACCATACATGTCTCTTAAAATGGTCTAAAGTGAAATAAATAGTAGAGATAAAATAATGGGGAAGATACAGACTTTTGCAGTGCCAGCGAGGAATTAAACTGGTTTGAATTGATAGAAAAGATTTTCAAGGGCCAGAAAGATAGTACAGTGGATAAGGTACTTGCCTTGCATTCAGCTGATGGGTTTGATCCCTGGTAAATTTGGTCCCAAGGTCCAAATAAACCTTGGACTAAGGGAGAATGTTATATACCTCAAATTTGGAGATCCCAAGTGACAGAAATATATTCACCCTTTGATGTTGATCAAACTATACAAAGATATTCAAACTGCTAGTCATGATTCAATTACAATGAACACTAATGTTATATCCTTATTATTCACTCTCCTTTACAAATTCCCTGCTCAAATAAAATCAATTATGAGCTTTACCCTAGGGTTCAGCATTAACTGTGTAACATTTTCTTCAAAGCTTGTCTAGGGGATTCTTTAGTTACAACAAAATTCAATCATTTAAATACCAATTCCAATTCCAGTTCCTAGAAAAAAATCTAGCATCTAGAGATTAAATCAATAATTATTTTTATACTTGACAAATATTTTCATTTGTAACTTTTAGTTTGCATCTTTTTCCACAGTAAATCCTGTTAGAGAAAGAATATGTTTCATAACTTAAATATGTTACATTTTAAATATAAAGTAATCTTTCTATTAGTAAAGTAAGTAAGTAAAGGCCCTCCCGTTGATCATCGATTTGCTCGAGCGGGCCCAGTAACGTCTCCATTAGAGACTTTGTTGTTACTGTGTCTGGCATATCGAATACTCTCGGTAGCTTGCCAGGCTCTCCGAGAGGGGCAGAGGAATCGAACTCGGGTCGGCCATGTTGGCTGCGTGCAAGGCAGACGCCCTACCCGCTGTTCTATTAGTAAGAATGATTTTTTGAGAAAAATATATGAACAGGCATGGAACAGGTGTACTTATAATAAATATTATATAGCGATAATCTCATCAATACACATTCTGTTAAAATATAAAGTACAATTTTTTATCACTCTATGCTTTAAAAAATTTAAGACACATAGCTAATGGAACTTAAATGCTTATAAGATATGAAAGTGTTATTTTCTGTTTCCTAATTAATAGAGCACTATAAATAAGGTAATTTAAGACTCATGACATTAACTGGTTAAGCATGGCAGTTTGAATTATTTACTATTATAGATGAGTATGTAGATTCTATACATAAACATAAAAACATAAAATGTCATATTATCAGCAGTACTGTCAAGAATTTTTTGTTGATGTTTAATATCTAACCAAGAAACACAGTGTGTGATGCAATAATGAAACCATTTATCTTTCTAGAAATCAATTAAAAGTTAATTAAAATTGTTAATAAGAAAAATCACACATCTCTTCTTCCCTTGCACTACATCAAAGCAATAAAAGGTAATGGCTGCAACTTTATAATCATCTTTCCATGGTTAATACTGTTCTGTAATATACACCTTACCATGGGGTCTGATTTGTGACCATTAATTTGTGAATTCATGTAACAGGGAAGCATAGGTAGAGTGTAGTCAAATAAAGATCTCACTGGACAAGACATTTTGAATATTTCAGAACACTGAAAAATCTTGGTAAATCTTGATTATTAAAATCAAAGTAATAATACATAAAATCAAAGTTATAAAATCAAAGATAAATTATTACTTAAGAAATTAATCAGATCACACACAGGCTTCCTGGAAAAACATTTCTGAAAGCTTGTTGAAGCACTGCACCTGAAAACGGATCAGAGAACCACCTTTCTTTCATATTTTATTCATCTTTTCTCTGAGTTATCCATTAGAATGATTTACATCCTACAAAACGTAGTCATTTTATAAATTCAATATAAGTAGGATCTATTCCAGGGATTCCTCCACTGGGGCTGCTGATTTCCTGAAGAGCAAAAGACCATGTTTGGTGGGTGGAATAGTCTCCAAGGTTAGTTTAATGTCTTAATTCTTCCACTGAGATATATCTTTTTAGATTACTTGAACATTTTTTTCAATACTTAACTCAAACTTAAATTTGTTTTGTATTTGCAGCCAGATTGTAGAAATATAAATTCATTTCTGCCTATCCTCACAAAACAGAAGTCTATTTAAAAACAACTCAAGGAAATGAAAAATGTATCTGTAGAAACTTGTGAACTACCAGTGGCATCTAATTACATGCATGTGAAACTGAGAGGGAGTTTGTTTCTTTGTTTTTTATTTTCTGTCCTTTCTATTCAGTTTGTGATACTGTGTGTTCCTTTATCGCCCTGAAGTCAGAAATATAGAAACTGTCAAGCAAAGAAATTAGACAGAGAAGTTAGGAAATTTGGGGCAGAGCTACAAGAAAAAATGGAAATCTTAAATTTTGCTACAATTTAAATGGAGCTGGAGGGTGTCATGTTAAGCATAAATTCTAGATGATCTCAACTCCAATAGGGAAAACAAAGAAACAAAGTAAGGGAAAAAACAAAGATCAATGGAAACAAATCTTGAAATTCCACCAGTGGAAGTGAGTCCCAGTCAGTCAGTTCCCATGAGCCTGCCAGAAGTTGTTCTTTTAGTGCAGAGCCAGGAGTACACCACAAGCATCACCAGATGACTCCATTCCCCAGAACCCCCAGAACAATTTAGATATCATGAAACTCATTACTAAAATAAGACTTCAGTGCTTCAAGAAAAGAGTTGCTCTCGGGTTTTTATTCACAGAAAATAATGTTTTATGTCCATTAATGTTTTCATACAGTTAAACAATAAAATAGCCTTTCCCCCTCTCTTGAATATTCCCAATGGCGCTGGAAGAACAGATAATCCCAGAGAACATCTCAAATTACAATCGTATTGACCCGCTTCTGACCCCAGCCGCACGCCCACCCATCCCCTCCAAAGGACAGCGCCAGAAGCCCCGCTGCTCGTCCAGCTCGCAGGACCCGCCCCCCACCCATCCAGGATCCTGGGAGGGAGTGGCCTGGGACTGGCTAGGGGCGTGGCCTCTAAGAAGGGGGCGTGTCCTCTCAACGTGGGCGTGGCCTTCTTCCTGTCAGGTGGCCACAAGTATATCACTCACTCCAAGCAATTTGGACTTTCATCCTTTCATCCTTTTCATCAACTTGTCACCTAATACCAACCAAAAATTTCTCACCTCTTCTACTACAATTCAACAACATCCCACTCGCCTACTCCATTTCCAATAAAAGTCCTGTTTGAAAGTAGCTGTACAA